AAATATTGACCGCACCCACTGCCCCCCTCGGCGCGCCGCCGACAGCTGCCTTCGGCGCGCGGCTTCGGAGCCCGCCAGGGGGGGGCAAATCGCAAAGGGGGGCAAATCTAAGCCCGCAGGCAAGTGATGGGGGGGCCCCTGCGTGCACGCACCGAGGGTCGCTCCAGCGCAGGGCCACACCCACGCGCAGCCGAGGGGAGGGGGGGGGGACTGGGAGAGGACCGGGATTGTCCCATGCAGTCAGGCAGGCTGCCCACTCCCAGGGGCGGATGCGCGGAGGAGCAGGAGGGAGGGAAGGGGGGGGAGCAGCAGGAAGGAGGTGGAAAGCAGGAGGAGAAGGAAGGGATGAGGATGGGGATGGGGAGGAGGGGGAAGAGGAGGAGGAGGGGGAGGAGGAGGAGGAGGAGGAGGAGGAGGAGGAGGAGGAGGAGGAGGAGGAGGACGAGGAGGAGGAGGAGGAGACGGAGGAGGAGGAGGAGGAGAGGAGGAGGAGGAGGAGAGGAGGAGGAGGAGGAGGAGGAGACGGAGGAGGAGGAGGAGGAGGAGGAGGAGGAGGAGGAGGAGGAGGAGGAGGAGGAGGAGGAGGAGGAGGAGATGGAGGCATGCTCCCGCTTATCACCGCTTCTCCCCGGTGAACCTGCCACGGTGGTCCGGGCTGCGTTGGAGGGTTCGGGGGATGATTTTTTTTTCCGAAATGAGACGTTGCCTCTAAGGTTCTCACCTGTTTGTGGAGAGACTGGTGGGTGCCAGACGTGCTCGTCACCAGATTCCTGGGGTTTCCTTGGCGCTACGCTGCCGCCCGTGCCTTTTTTCGTGCGCCCCCGCGGGCACCTCACGCTTTGGGGGTCAGCCGAGGATGCGGCACGTTGCCGCCCGTGCCGTTTCGCGGGTGCTCCGCGTTTGGGGGGTCTGCCGACGTTGCGCCACGTTGCCGCCCGTGCCGCCTCATGGGCGCCTCGTGGGCGCCCCGTGTGTTTGGTTGCTCTTGTTGGTCGAGGCTGCGCCACGTTGCCGCCCGCGCCGCGTCGCGGGCACCTCGCGCGCGCCCCGTGCCCTGAGCTCACACGGCACAGATTTCGCCACATAGCTTGCACCACAAGGCTCGCGCCGTACATGTTGGAAAAAAACAGCCTACATCATATAGTCTGCACCTCACAGTTTCCGCCTCCACGCTGCTTACGCGACACAGCTTTCACCGCGCAGCTCACGCCGCATACCTGCCATTTCCACGATGCAACAACGCACTCACTGTCTGGGGCCCACGCTGGCTAACCGTCTTTTCGATATCTAAAACAATGATGCGACTCCATCGCGGCGACGCTCGACAACGATGCCACCAAAGAGGGAAGAACGGTACCCAATTGACGTTGGGTGGGGCCGCGGCCGGACGCCCCTTTGTCGAATCGCCAACCCAGGCGCGTCAGGGCGGCGGCCGAAACACCTGGGCACCATGCCCCCCTCGAAAATGGTAGGTGGGAGACAACGAAACCGCGATGGCGGACGCGTCCGACGCGCGGCGAGCGGACGCGCCGCGGGTCGCCCCAGAGGTCAGCCAAAACGGCGCTATGGCAAGAAGAGGGCAACACCCTGGGCGGACGCACTACCCGCAGGTGGCCCGCGTGGGCAGGTAGGGCGCCGCAGGCATGACCGGGCACTCGATATCACTCGATATCCCGCCCCACGGCCAGGCGGCATAATGGAAATCTGTCGACAGTGTTCGGAGAAGGAGGCGGGCAAGAGAGGACACCGACGCACGGAACGACGGCGCGCGGCGGGTGGTCAAGCAGCCGCCCGCCGTCGCGCTCTGCGAAGCCGGCGGGACGCTCACCCCGCGCCAGTCGACAATGACAAGTTATTAGCGCCCCATAAATCTGCACCGCGGCGACGCTCGGCAGCGATGCCACCCAAGAGAGAAGAACGGCACCCAGTCGACGTTGGGCGAAGCCGCGGCCAGACGCCCCTTTGTCGAATCGCCAACCCGCCACGTCAACGGAGGATGGCGGGTGGCGCGCCCAACCCGCCGCGTCGACCGACGCTAGCGGGTGGCGCGTCAGGCGCCAGCCGAAACGCGCGGGCACCGCGCCCAACGCCGCGGCCCCAGGCGCCGAGGCCGACGCGCTGCCCCCGCGGGCCCGCGGCGCGAAGCGGGCACGCAGGACCCAGTGCCCGGCAGAGAAACGCACGCAGAACCGCAGCGCGCAAGGGAGCGGGCGACGCAGCAGCACGCTAGCGAGCGAGCGCGAGGGGATCGGGCGAGACCGAGACCGCGCAGACAACGCGCTTGGCGTCGCGGGACGCCGCAGGAACCCCCGCCACAGGCTCGTAGTCCCTGGGCGACGCGACGAAATGCGCTTCGGCGATTGCTTGGCGTTCCAAACTTTCCAGGACCGCGACGGCGTCCGACGCGCGGCGAGCGGACGCGCCGCGGGTCGCCCCAGAGGTCAGCCAAAACTGCGCGATGACAAGCCGAGGACAAAACCCTGGGCGGACGCCCTTCCCCTAGGTGGCCACTATGGGCAGGCAGGGTGCCGCAGGCATGACCGGGCACTCGAAATCACTCGATATCCCGCCCCGCGGCCAGGCGGCTGAATGGAAGCATTTCGACCGTGCTCGGAGAAGGAGGTGAGCAAGAGAGGACGCCGACGCACGGCCGCGCGGCATGACAGCAAACCCGCGTGGGGGCCTGGCCCGCCCGACGGAACGGCGGCGCGCGGCGGGTGGTCATGCAGCCGCCCGCCGTCGCGCTCTGCGAAGACGGCGGGACGCTCTCCCCGCGTCAGCCGACCTATGTCTTGCAATGACAAGATATTACCGCCCCAAAGTCAGTACGCAAAGATATACAGAAGCACCCCGCAGATGCGGATGTGAGTGATGGGGTGGTGGGACGTCGGCAGTTTGCGAGTCTCTGGAGAAGCCCGCCGCAGGCGCCAAAGTTTTTACGAATTATACAACGAACCCGCCGTGGGCGCCGATTTTTCGATAAACCCATGTGGGTAGGTCGCGGGTGGGTCGTTGGTGGGTCACGGGTGGGTCGTCGCGGGTGGGTCGCGGGTGGGTCGCGGGTGGGTCGGGTGGGTCGCGGGGTGGGTCGTGGGTGAGTCGCAAGTGGGTCGCGGGTGGGTCGCAGATGGGTCGCGAGGTGGGTCTCGGGTTGGGTCGCAGGTGGGTTGCGGGATGGGTCGCGGGGTGGGTCGTGGGGTGGGTCGCAGGTCGGGTCGCGGGTGGGTCGCGGGGTGGGTCGCGGGTGAGTCGTCGTCGTCGTCGCGGATAATATAGTTGTCGTCGTCGTCGGCGGCTGCCATAGTAGTTGAAAGGGGGGGGGGGTCGAACCCCCCCGGGGGGGCCTGGGGGGGGGGGGGTCAATTCAAACCCCCCCGGGCGCAAGAATGCGTCGTCGTCGTCGTCGTCGTCGTCGTCGTCGTAGTCGTTTTCCAGCGGCGGGTAGGATGGGGGGGGGATTCGAAACCCCCGGGGGGCCTGGGGAGGTGGGGGGTCGAAACCACCCGAGGGGCCCGGGGAGGTGGGGCGGGGGAGGGTGTTCGGATCTCCGGGTTCTTTGGGGGGTGGAGGGGGGGGTTATGCAGGGGGGAGTTTGGGGGGGTGGTCCCCGCGGCTTCCGACCCCCCCCCCTCAGCGATTTGTCTCGGGGGGGGGGAGTCCATCTTGTTTCTTTGACCCCCCCTCAAGGATTTTTTTCGGCACAGCCGCGGTGGATCGCGCTCCCTCGGAGGATGCGGAGGAGAACGAGGAGAAGGAGGAGGAGGAGGAGGAGGAGGAGGAGGAGGAGGAGAACAGGAGGAGGAGGAGGAGGGAGAAGGTGGAGGAGAGGGGGCGGCCTTCGCGGGCAGAGGGCAGGCGGAATCGCGCCAGGGCAGCCAGGCGCGCCAGGCCGCACGCGCCACGCGCGCGCGAGCTGGCGGGCCGCAAGGCAGGCCGGGGCAGCGCACAAGCCCGTCGGGGCGGGCCGTCGGGGCGCGCCATCGCGTCGGCGAATCCCGGGGCGTCGTCGTCGTCGTGGTCGTCGTCGTGGTCGTCGTCGTCGTCGTCGTCGTCGTCGTCGTCGTTATCATTCAGGGCCGTGAGGCCTCTCCACGAGGGCGACGAAGCCTGTGCATATCCACTGCTCCCTGGCCAGTCCCAGCCCGAAACCGACAGCGGTGTGTACGCCACGCCCTCCCGGCTCGGCCAGGAGGGCGTATACACAGCTCCTGGGTTCGGGGTGGGCCTGGCCAGGAGGACAATGGATATGTACAGGCCCCGTCGACCGGCTACAGATTCCGCTGGGTGAGGCCAGAGTCGATTAAGCGGGGCTGAGCGGCAATACCCTGGATTGGGCCGGTTCTTCGATCCCTGGTACCAGCGCCGATCTTGAGTTGGACCTCCCTGGACTTGCATGCGAAAGACCACATACGTACATCTATTTTCATGCCCTCGTGGTCTGTACACCGAAGCGCGATCACATGGACAGGCTCCGCGCGGGGCATCCGCGCACGAGCCGCCCTGTGCCGCGGGCGAGGAATCAGGACCGCGAGGCCGCGGGTGGGGAACCGTCGGTTTAACGCCGCGAGGCCCGCGTCCGCCTTTTCAATCCTCGCTTCCTCCTCCTTTCTCGCTCTCTCCCGAGTGTTCCCACACGGGGGTCCACAGCGTCTGGGGGAACACATAGCTCAATAGCATGGCCAGACTTTGGCCCATCGTGCGGCCGCATGGACGTTTCCAAAGGCAGCGGGCGTCGGTGGTTCACCGTAGGCGTCTTCGATATCCCCAAGCACGCCTACAACAAACACAGCATCTGCCAATGACGGCCTCAAGTGTCCACGAAGCCTCCATCTCCTCCTCCTCCTCCTCCTCCTCCTCCTCTCTTCCCCATGTCCGTGCTCATTACGTGGTCTCCTCATTCATCACTTCCTATTCTCCGCCTCCGCCTCCTCTTGACAGAAACCTACAAAATCCCCCAAACACACAATACGTGTCACACAAAACCTTCGGGTACTCTGAGGTTGGACTATTCTTCCTCACTCTGCCTACAAAACATGTCTCTCTACAGTCCAGGCCCCTTCTACAGTTTACTACCTGGGCCCACAGCTCAAAGGATTACCAACTTCGGAGAACGTGCCTCAGCGTCTAGGCTGCTCAAGGTTGTCCAAAGACTCCCGCGGGGACGCTACCAAACAGCTGCGAAGGCTCAGAAGAATAAAAGCCCCCAGAGAGCCAAACGGGCCCAGGACGGCCTCAATGCGGCCTCTCGTCGGTCCACGAGAGCCGAATTAGCTTCGGCTGCTCTGTGAAACCCCAACTGTCTGGACGTGGTACCGCAAAGCGTGGATAGCATCCGAAATGTTGGGCGGCAATGAGACGTACCCCAATTCACATCGAAATGGCTCGGCTTGCACGCTTCCCGTCACGCGGCACTTTCAGGTTGTCGGTTTCATCACCAGGTCGCCTTGATCGGCAGATCCCACTCTCTTGCGACGGGCCTTTGTGGCAAGAGTGTGGCCTCGAGCTTGAAGAAGACCCGTCGCAGCTTCTTGTCCACTCCGCGGCTGTGGCAGTACTCCCAGAGAACGTAGAGCATGAGAATACCAAAGAAGATCATAACGACGCTCTTGACTATGTAAGTCAACATGCTCACCTGGCCAAGCCGCTGAAGTCCGTCGGACGCGATGGCCTGATCGCGAAACGCCATGAGCGTGACCACCACCGCAGAAGCGACGCGCAGGTCATGGACGGTGGCCACTGTGTCGAAAGCCGCCGCCGATGTGGGGAAAGATATGTCCCACCCTTTCGCAAGCTTGGAACACCCAGTCACTCCCCAAGCACCTGCACGCGTCGCGACTGCTGACGCCGATCCTTCCAGAGAGCCTTCTTGAACGACGGTGATGTTGACCTGGTGCGTATCAGCCCGGTACAAGCTCGTCTCTGCAACCGTCTCGCCAGTACTCGGGTTCTTTATGCTGTACTTATAGAAAAAGGCCTGTGTGGTGACAGAAAGGTCGTGGTCCGCTGCAGTGGTAGCGCCTCGGCCGAACTTATCGGCCTTGATGATCGACTCCTCGACCATGAAGCTCGGTGTACCCAGGCAATTCGTGAGAGAGAACAAGTACTTGTTCAGAGTCATGAGTTCGCTAATTTCGGCGAAGCGCACAGAGCCGTCACCACTTACTTTCGAGTCCACATTGAAGCGGACGCCTCCAGCGCCATTGCCCTGCCAACGCATGATCGTCCTGCTCTTCGCCTGATCTTGCCATGTGCCCATGCTGGTGCTGAGGTCGTCGCTGCAATCTGGGGCAGCAACGTACAAACTTTTTCCAAACATCACCATGGGGCACTGCGCCGTGTACGCCTCATTCACAGCCAACTGGGATGGTGGAGGTGTGGCTGGATTCTTGCGAGAGATCGAATTTATGACGGCGGCGCCCAACTGCATATTATAGGGCTCCAGCACAAGCTCCCGCAAGTCGCCAGTGTCGTTATTCATTGACCCTAAGTGCGTCCTGAAGGCTGGCAGCGGGCTGCTCCAGTCATAAGAAGACTGTCCTTCCTTGGGAAGCTTGTCGGGAATATCTACGTTCTGATAGGTGGAATGCACGGACGGATGAAACACCACCACCTCCTCGTACTTTTCGGCGGGGGCAGCGGCTAACGAATCTTGTGCGGTCGCCGCCGGCGCCAACTGAGTGCTTGCGTTCAAGATGGCGCGGTCCACCTTACTCCAGTAGTCAGCCGTGACTGTGTCGTTGTCCTGCAAGGGGGCGCCAAGGTGGGGTCGACAATGGGGGATGTGGCGAACGAGCCGCATGCGAGTAACGTTCGAGGCGGCTGGCATTCGGGGGCGCAACGACATAACCGAAGGCGCTGCCCAACTAAGGGGACAATCCGAGCTGATCCCGTCGAGTCTCGCAACTTCCCTCGGCCTTCTCGAGAGAGTTCTGTCATTGCCCTCGTGTCCTAGTGCGGACCTATACTGTCTGAACTCTCCTGGCGTGGAAATGTATGAACCCGGCCCTCCCTTTTTGCAAGCCCCGCGTCCATGGGCTCCAGCAACTTCTCATCTCCGCTCAGCGCCGTAGCATCTTCGGCCACGGCGCGAGCAAACAGCTGCCTGCGGCCCGGCCGAAGGGCACGAGACGATATAACACCCTCACATCCGATGTCACGGTTTGTTCGTTTCTACCTCTAGATCCAACCCTGGGAGGCGGATTCATCCACCACCGCTTTGTCCCCGAACACTGCTTGCACTCAGGGGTTCTTACAGTAGGGGCCCGACCACAAGAAAACTTCCACAAGAAACCCAACCCTGAGACCCCAAGACGTCCATCGACTTTTGCTGTGGGAACGTCACGCGCTCCATCGCAAAATTACCGATGTAACCGCGAAGCCCAGGGGCACCCTGGAGGCAAGCAGGGTGCCTCTTGGCATGGGTCCCCACTGCACTTGGATGACCTGAAGAAGTCGACGGATGTGCACGGCTTCTACATGGCAGTTTTTAATACACGGGATTCTCAAAATATAGGATGTTAATACATGATTAATGCATGAATGAATTCATGCATGAACTCATCGTTGTTTTTTTATACTGAACCCATGCATTTGTAATACATGATCCGCACGCGGAGCATCTATAAAAAACGGCACTGTAGCCTGTTGCCCGATGGGCGGGCACCCGTGGGCACCGCGTGCGCTGGATGGGCATGGCGAGGTCTCGCCTGGGGGCCCGGCAAGCGCCTCGTGGGCGTCTCGCGCGCGGGGGGGGGGCGTGCCGAAGCACCGCCCGGTGACCCAGCCCTGCAGCCTGCCCGTGGGCTCTCTCTCCGTGGGCGCCTCGCGCGCCGGGGGATTGCCGAGGCTTCGCGCGGTGCCCGCCCCGTGGCCGCCCCGTGGGCGCCTCTCGCGCGCCGGGGGGGCGTGCGCCGAGGTCTCGCGAGGCGGCCCGCCCCCGGCGCGCCTCGGGGCGGGCGCCTCGCAGGCTGGGCGGCGGCATGGCCGGCGCCACACCGCCTGCGCCGCAGGGCCTGTGCACGCAGAGCTTGCACCAGACGGGGTGCAGCACCACGCTCGCATCGCACGGGTTGCACCACAGGTATGCTGCTGCACCGCGCAGCTTGCAGCGCACAGCTTTCGAAGCGAGAGTGTGCGCACACACACACACACACACTGCTTGGGGTCAAATTTGGGGGACATATTTTACCAAACAAATCGGCAACATTGTATTTGCTCATGTCTCCGAATTCCCAAGCCTCGTGGTTAGAATGATTATACAATCTCTCCCACCCAGGACGATGTCCCCCGTACGCGTGAGGAGCGCACCAAATCACTGTCGCTGGTCGGGAATATACCGCAAGATCCCAAACGATCTACGCTTGCGCGATTGCTGCACGGTTATGCTCTGAGACCCGTCGCTTTTGACGTCACGGTCGTTTGACAACATGGGCTCGCAAACCTCTCGACTCCACCCCGGAACTGGTTACTCATCCTGGTAGTTGTTCGACGGTGCGACCCTCCCCTTCCCAGGGACCCCAACTGGACAACAACTTGGTTCCAACCTTCCCGTGCTGGGTTCTCGTATTGGATCGGGCGCTGTGGACTCCGTCCTTCCTCCCCCCTCCTCTGGTCTCCGTCCTTCCTCCCCCCTCCTCCTCCTTCCTCCCCCTCCTAATCCTGCTAATCCTCCTCCTCCTCCTCCTCCTCCTCCTCCTCCTCCTCCTCCTCCTCGCAGACGGCACCCTGGGGGCTGTAGTGGCAACTGTCGCAACGTCCGTGGGCTCCTCAAGGCGCAGAGGAGTGGAGGGAAGGCAGATCCAGCCGAGACCTCGCGGCTCTTTGGGGGGATGCGAAGTTCGTAACTGTCGCCACTTTCGTGGGCTCCTGGGAGGCTCAGCAGAGTGGAGGGACATGCAGATCTAGTCGAGACCTCGCGATTCGTTGGAGGGGGCTCCAGAATGCGCAACTGTCGCAACATTCGTGGGCTCCTTGGAGGCCCAGCAGAATGAAAGGGCACGCAAACCCAGCCGAGACCTCGCGGCTCCCTGGGAGGCTGTTAAGGGGGCAAATGTCGCCACGTTCGTTGCCTCCTGGGAAGTCCAGCGGAAAGGAAGGACACGCAGACCCAGCCGAGACCTCGCTGCTCCCTGGGGGGCTGCGAAGTGCACCATCGTCGCCACTTTCGTGGGCTCCTTCCTGGGAGGCTCAGCGGAGGAGGGACACGCAGATCCAGCCGAGACCTCGCGGCTCCGAAATGCACCACTGTTGCCACGGTCGTGGGCTCCTGGGAGGTCCAACATGACACGCAGACCCAAAACAGGACCTCGCGGCTTCCTGAAAGGCTGCGACGTTCGCATGCGTCGCTGGGGAGGTCCAGCAGAGCGGAGGGCCACGCAGATCCAGCCGATACCTCGCGACGTGCGCAACTGTCGCCACGCTCGTGGGTTCCTGGGAGGTCCAGCGGGAGGGAGGGGCACGCCGGCCCAGGCGAGACACTGCGGCTTCCTGCGGTGCTGCGGCGTGCGCAACCGTCGCCGCATTCGTGGGCTCCTGGGAGGTCCTGTACGTCAAGACTTCGCAGATCCCTGAGCACGAGGGGTGCTGCTGCGCGCTGCGGTCATTCAATCTGGCTGTTCGTTTCGGGCGGTCCTGGGTATGATCGCCACATGGCTTGAAAGGGTGGGCTACGTCAAAAGGTGCTTTTCACGCTGCAGCACATCAGAAGGTGGGTTTGGGTGACCCCGTCAAGCGTTTTCTTTATTGCACTGGTCTGGTCAGAATCGAGGCAATTCCAAGCATGGTTTACAGGACGCCCCCCGAGGTCAACACATACAGATGTCTTCCGACAACTCGCGCCAGTGTCAGTCACCGTGGTTACCTATCATTGGGTGTTTGTATTGTGGAGGTGGAAGATATGCAGAGCAAACTATTTGCGGTAAGTATGTGGTGTAAGCTATGTGGCGTGGGCTGAGCTGAGCTGTGGTGGTGCGAGCTATGTGGTGTGAACTATGACACGCTGTGTTGTGTGAGCTGTATTGTGTAAGCTACGTTGTGTACGCTGTGTGGCGTGGGCCATTTTGTATTATGTATAAGCTACACGGTCTGGCTTATTTCTATCAACCCGCGAGTTGTCACCTCCTCTTCTCGCGCAATCATCCCACCATCCCATCCGCAACTTGGGGGCTGTCGTGGGCTCCTGGGAGGTCCTGCAAAGTGGAGCTGTGCGCAGATCCAGCCGAGACCTCGCAACTGCCATGGGGGCTACGAAATGTGCAACTGTCGCCACGTTCGTGGGCTCCTGGAAGGTCCAGCGGAGTGAAGCTCTACGCAGACTCAGGCGAGTCCCCGTGGCTCCCTGCGCACGGAGGGGCGCTCCTGCGCACTGCGGGTCCTTCAGCATGCTGCTTCGTAATGGGTTGTCCTGGTATAGTCGCCACATGTTTAGAAAGGGCTGGGTACGTCGCAAGGTAGTTCGCGCTGAAGAAACTTAGAGGGCGTGTTGGGGTGATCCAGCAAAACCTTTTTCTTCAATGCACCGTTCTGACCAGACTGACCACAATAAAGCAGTTCCAACCGTCCGGCGGTGGCTCGCGTTGTCCCGCGGTGTCCCGTGGTTTCATGTGGTGTCCCGTGGAGTGAGATCGATAGTGATATCGATAATGAGATCTATGTGGTGTCTCGTGGTGTCCCAAAAAGTGAGATCGATAGTGAGATCAATAGTGAGATCGACAAGTGTCCGGTGGTGTCCCGTGGTGTCCGATCGGTAGTGAGATCGATAGTGAGATCGATAGTGAGATCGATGTGGTGCCCCGTGGTGTCCCGTGGTGTCCCAAAAGGTGAGACCGATTGTGAGATCGACAGGTGTCCTGTGGTGTCCCGTTGAGTGAGATCGATAGTGAGATCGATAGTGAGATCGATGAGGTGCCCCGAGGTGTCCCGTGGTGTCCCAAAAGGTGAGATCGATAGTGAGATCGATACTGAGATCGATGTGGTGTCCCGAGGTGTCCCGTGGTGTCCTATGGTGTCCCGTTGAGTGAGATCGATAATGAGATCGATAGTGAGACCGATAGAGAGATCGAGAGGTACCCTGCGGTGTCCCGTGGAGTCCCGTGGTGGCCCGTGGTGTCCCGTGGTGCCCCGTTGAGTGAGATCGATAGTGAGATCGATGGTGAGATCGACAAGTGCCCCGTGGTGTCCCGTGCTGTCCCGTTTGGTTCCCCCCCCCTCCCCCCCACCCCCAACCTCCTCATCACCCGAAGGGTGGTCGTGCAGGCAGAGCCCATGGTCAAAAAGCTGGCAGTCCATGTGGTATGAGCTGCTGTGGGTACGCTGTGCGGTATGAGCCGAGTGGTGTGAGCCAGGCTGTGCACGCTGTGCTGCCCACCCCAAAACACGGGGAGCCCGCGAGCGCCCACGAGGCGCACACGGGTGGGCACCGGGCGGATCCTCGGCGGACCCGCTCGGGGCACGGGGGGCCCCCGAACGCCCACGAGGGCGCCCGCGGGCGGCAGGGCGCCGACGAGTCCTCGGCGGACCAACCCAGGGCACACGCAGCGGCACAGGGCGCCAAGGAACCAACCCGTCGGACCAACCAACCCAGCGCACCGACCAACCCAGCACAGGGCGCCACGATTCCTCGGCGGACCAATCCAGCGCACCAACCAACCCAGGGCGCATGGCGCCATCGAACCCTCGGCGGGCCAACGGATCACAACCTCGGCGGACCCACCCACGAGAGCCCACGAGGAGCCAATGGGCGGGCTCGGGGCGCCAACGAGGCGAAACCTCGGCGGACCCCAGGGCACGGGGCGCTCACCCGCCCGCGGGCCCACCCGCCCGCCCGCCCGCTTGCGCGCCCGCCACCCCGCGCGACCGCCCGCTCGCCCGCGCGCGCGCGCCCGCACGCCAGCCCGCGCGCTCGCCCGCCCGCGCCTCCGCCTGTTCCATTGCCCACCTGCCCGCCCGCCAGCCCGCGCGCGCACCCGCGCTCCGCGCTCGCCCGCCCGACCGTGCGGCCGCCCGCTCGCCCGCCCGCGCGCCCCGTCTGCGCGCCCGCCAGCCCACCCGGGCGCCCCGCCCACTCGCCAGCCCGCGCCCACCAGAGCAAACGCTTGCTCGCGC